TGCATGAGTCCCCTTTTCAAGCTCTGCATGAGTCCCCTGGGATGGCCTGTGTGGAGATTTTTCTGCTGCGTGGAGCAAGCGAGAAACCAACCTGGCCTCCATCACCGTCTCCGTGATCTGGGCCTACACGTTGAAAGGCAAAAAACCCTGAACCACGATCAAAGAACACCCAAACAACAACGGCCTGCGTGATGGCTGGGATGTCCGGCGGCTTGGCCTGCCCGGCGTGCCAAGCTGACAACTCTGAGGAATACTGAATGCAGCACTGCCAACCGGCACAGGTAGCCGACATCATGTTTCGTTTGGATGAGAATAGCAAGGTTAACTTCCATCAACTGCAAAACTGTACGTTCAGCCACATGTGTGGTAACACACACACACACTGCCAACCACAATATATGTATATAATATATATATATATATAATATATATATATATACATATAGAAAGATATACATATGTAGATATATATACATATATATATATGTATATATATATATATGTGTGTTGCCTGATATCTGGCGGCAGCCCGCCTTAGCTGTGGCTGGGATGTCTTGCTCCTGCGTCGATCTCCACATCACACGCAACATGTCTGTCCCGGCACTCTGAATGAATGCAACAGTGCCAGTTGTCTAACGGGCAAGGCGCTACCCCGCGGCTAGCAGCCTGACAGGAGGTTTCACGGAGTATTCGTCCGAATACTCCGTGAAACCTCCTGTCAGGCTGCTAGCCGCGGGTAGAGATGGTGGTTCAAGTCCACCCTGGTGCATATATATATATATACCTATGTGTGTGTGTGCACACACATGTTGATAGCATGAGCAAGCATGTGCTCTGAAGTCCATGGCGCCTCCCTCAACTGCATGCGTGGCATTTGTTGCAATTTCTGCTGCCCAGGCTAGCTGGGTGATCAGGCAGGCAAAGAAGGCGAAGACGTCAAGAAAGACCATTGGGATTTGCGGTTCGTGCGCATGCAGTTCTTGACATTGGGTCTTCTGTGAAACATGCATGCAGTGGCACGCAAGGACCGTGATTGGCTGCAAGTTTTCAAGGACGCTGTTGGGCTCAACCTGCGCTCCAAGAAGTTTTCGCGTGGCAAGAAACATCTTGAGCTCACAGGCCGTTCTTGTTTTCTTGCAAGGGCTCAACGGTCCAATGTGATATCTCCTGCTTCCAGGTTCGCCAGTCGACAACGTGGACACCCAGCCTTTTGACATTGCTCCCGAAGGCCCGACCCAAGCTAAGCAAAAGCAGGTCTCGACGACTCTCCCGCACATGGCTCCGCCTGATTGCCTGGAGTCCACGTTGCAGCATTTGGCAACGGCGCCGTCGATGAATTTTGAATTCAGTGATCAGTACAAGAAGCATTTCAAGGGCCGTTTGGAGCAAGCGAAGCAGGCTGTTGCATCAGCAGGCCAGGTCCGTCTTTGCGCGTGCTGTGTGCGTGTGTGTGTGCTGCAGTGTTTGCAGGCCCTTGTGCTGGTTCGGATCCGGAGGCTTGATTTGGAAGTAGTCGTTGTTTGGCCAGTTGCATGCATGAATCATTCATGGCGCTCAACTCTCCCTCTTCAACCATGTGTTCCGGGTTCCCCAGCAAAGAAGGTGTGCATGACCATTCCACTTGTAAACCTTGGCCCATGCAATGGAGTGCAGGCCGCTCAGAGCAAGCAGATCAAACCTGACGCTTTGGAGCGCAAGGCCGGGCGTGCCATGTTTACCGTCATATGATACATCCTACAGAACATTCACATACACACGTATATACATCTATGTTATTGTGCGTGGGCCAAACGCAGGTCGCAAGGCTTGCACTTGAGGCTGATCGCATGCACCAGCTCCTCTGCAGAGAACACCCGGCTCGTGGCCAGTGACTTCACAGCAGGGCCGGGTCACTTAAAAGGACACAAGTGCCTCTATAATCGCCAAATCACCCAATCAGGATTTGTGTGTTTTCCTGCAATGTCTTGTCCATGTTTCTGTGGTGCATGGAGCCAACTTGCATGCGCTCAAACATGACTGGGCAATCCAAGCATAAGGAGGCCCGCCCGGGCTTCATCATGTTTGAATTGCCAGTCATGTTTGCAGGCTGCTGCCTGCTCATTGCCTGGATGCTCTTTATGATGTGTTGCTACTGCAAAGCAGTTGGGTCAGAGGAAGTGCACCCCACTCTTTGAAAAATGCATTTCCTCATGGGTAGGGTCCATGCTGGCTACAGAAACACACGCTCACTGTGACCAAGACTCATCCATGTGCCAACACTGTGACTTGTGTGTGCACGTGCACTCTGAGGTTTGGTCAGCTTGCCATAGTCCACGTGGAGGCCTGGGCCGGGGGAAGGGAGGCACTACTACCAATGGGCAGCCAACACTGGCCCAACAAGGACTCGAGTAGAAGGATGCTCCATAATTGTTGAAGATGGTTCACTTGACCCCATGTATACATATATATGTATTGCCACTCATGTGATTTCAGCCCGGTGCAAAGTGCCCTTTTTTATCATCCTGGATCCACTTGATCTCTTGTCCTGGATCCACTTCCACTTGACAGGATCAGCAATCATGTGTAAAATGGAAAATGTAGCCAACGATCATCGTAAAGGTGATGCCTCCACCCAGGAAAGCCCACACAAGGAGCAGGGGCAAAGGAACTCGGGGATCAGGAGCTTCAAGCTGAGTAAGATCGGCCCTGAGACTGGCAACTTCCTCACGGAGGGAGCCTATGGCGTCCAACACCTCGCGGAGCTCATGTGCACTGTCGGATGATGCTGGGGCCGATGATGGCATCTCCATGGCTCCTGAAGTGGCACTGGATCCACTTGATGCACTGGATCCACTTGACGGCCACTGGGCACACATCATGCAAACCCAAGTGTCTGAAGCACTACTTAGGGTCGGGCCCTTAGAAGTTGGTCTGAAAGGTGTCCAGCAACCATCAGCACTCACTGGCCCACTCAACATGGGACCAGCGGACAGTCTTGCCACATTTAAGCAGGGGTCACCAGAGAGGTTGAAACTGCTGTGCAACTGCAGGGCAAGAATGAAATATTATGGTTTTTTTTTTGCTGGGTGACCTTGAGAACTCAGGGAGGCTTTGCACTGGGGCCAGCACCCTGCAGAGCCGCTGGGACCAGGGTCTTCTTAACCTCAGGTGGACAATTTCAGCTTCTTGATGTGAGAGCTCCAACTGTGCGGCATGATGGTGGTCCAGCAATCCATGTAACAATTTCATTGTTTTTGGTGGCTGTACTTGCCATTAAGGGCTGTGATGGGACGGTTCCAACTGTCGCAAGGTGGCCCAGTGTTCCAGTGGTCAAGTGTTCCAGTGGTTTACTGGACCAATAGGTCAACAGGCAAAACTCCCAGTTGTATGTGAGGTGGCCTGGCAGTGCAACCCATGATGTTCTTTCTGAGTTCAGTGCTGTGCAGGCAGTAGCTCTGCCTTGCCTGGCGTGGGCTTTCAACACCATGCCTTTCCATGCGGTCCTGCCCCTCCTTCTCAAAGCTTAATTGATAGCAAAACAGTGGCTTTGCTTAGCACATGTGGCTTGGAGTTCCTGAGTGATTGGAGGTGTCTAGTTAAGAAACCATGCGCTCTGAAACATGTAGCTGTACTTGCAAATGCGCCAGGCAGACCTCCTCATGCTGCAGGGCAAGCCGCTGCAGCTGCTGCTTGCGCCAGGGCATGTTCCATGTTGGCATGTAACATGTGCTTTGGACATGCAACTCCTGTGCTCAGCTCTTCAGCACAGGAGTTTCATGTCAGAAGCACATGTCAATCTTCTCAGTAATATGAACATGCACACACAGAAGAAGCACACATGTAACCAATGAGGGCAAACAATGCACCACATGCGTGTCGCAACCATAGTGCCTACCCACCCAATGCTCACTGCATTGTAACCATATCAAGCACTTAATCAACGCACATGTGTGGAAGCTATGCAGGCAACTTACCAACCCTCATGTGTGTAGCAATGATACTGGATGTGCATGAGTCTGCGGATAATGGCTCTGTGCTCCTCACATGCTTCTCATGTGTTTGCTAGAAACACATGTGAAGCATCTGAGAAACACTGGGCACTGAAATGCGCATGGTTTTATGGCCAATTCTTGGCTTATGGTAAACACGTACATGGCATGATTATGCCGAATTGTTGTGCCAAAATGGTCTGATTTTCCCCCATAATGTGCGCATATGCTGTATACCAGTTACCTTTTGCTAGTATACCACTTCCATGGGTCAGAGTTTCAACAATGTTTTATTTGCTCAATGTGCAAAACGACATGCTTGAGCAGGCCCAGGCTTCACGGGAAACACCTGCACACATGAACAGGGTTTATGGAACATACAAGGTTTTTGCGGAATGTGTGTGCTTTTCTTTGCTTGTTTTTGTTGGGGAGGGGGGCTACCATATGTATATATATATATATATATGTATAGGTATGCTGTTACATGTGTACCTGGTGCGCATGTCCTTGCGAATGCACTCGTTCTGTGTTTTGGCCTCCTGTTTTCAGAGGTTACGGTATATCTGATTTGTACTTGGGCTTTGCAAATCTTACATTATAGATGTACCTCCGCTGAACACATTGCTTTTGCACTAATGTTGACCCCGGATTAATAAACCCCAGGTGCTTCATAGGGGGTGTCCCTTGGTCAATTGTGGGATTCAGACCACTTTTGGAGGGGCCCCCATCCGCCGGATTAATCAACCGCGGTTGAGTACCCTCTCTCCCCACTAGCATAGCACCTGTTGGAGGGCCATGTTAGTTGGAGGGTTGACAAATCTGGGGTCCACGTTACCTAGCTCCCCCGGTAGTGCCATTTTACACTTCTTTGGGGGAGGGTTCCCCTACTAGAATAGATTGCGGAAAAAGTGGGTACCCTTATTCTATCCTCTCCACTGAAAAACCCTAGTTAGTCTGGGGCCAGCATTCGCGCAACGTGTCGGCCGCGCACCACGCGGTGGTTTTGGGCGCTTTGGCCCTGGCGCTCGGGAGGTCATGCGGGAGGCCTGCGGTGCCCTGAGGGCCATGGCTCACAAGAACCCGGCGAGGGGCCCGAGGGGGCGGGGCCGAGGGCTCCGGGCAGCAGCGAGCGGAAGCGGATTTGGGGGGGGGGGCCTGGTGCGACCCCCGAAAAAAGAGGGGGTATTGTTTCAAAAGGGGGCTCCTTTCAAGAATTGAAGGTGTTTACTCTGGCAGGAGATCCCTCCAAGAGGAAATTGAGCTCCCACACAGGTGCTATGTTAGTGGGAGGGCGGGTAGTTTCTGGGGCGGCCCTGAGGTAAGGTTCCACGAGGGTTCCACCAGGGTTCCACCAGGGCTCCATGAGGGTTCGCGAGGTTCTGCTAGGGCTACGGGGTGCTGCGAGCACAAACAAAAGCACCACATGCTGTTGGGGATATCTTTTGAGCTTATTTGTTTTTCTCCATTTTTTGTTGTTTATAGTTTTTGTTTTTTCGGGGTCATTCCATTTCTCATTCCCTGCCTATTGCAGCAGCAAGAAAACAGGGAAACGAGAACTTGGGAGCAAAGACTTGGCAGCCATGTTCCCTTGACATTCTGCGCATGCGTGTCGCCACATTTAAGAACGAGAGACACTTGGAAGGAACGCACTAAACAGGTAAGCTTCATAAAGCTATATAGGGGGATTCTTATGTTTGCTTGGAACCATGATGCAGTTTGCAGATTAGCCATTGCTTCCACAGTCACCCTTTGTGCGGGCGGGTGGTTGGGGTCAAAGGGTCAAAGCTCCGCACTAAGAGGTGACTGCAGAGTGTTAGGCTATGTTTTTCTCAAGCCAGTTTTTTGTTTGGAGCCTGTTGGTTGGCACGCAAGTTTTTGTTTTATTTTGGAAGGGGAGGGGGGCTGCAGAGGGACGGGGGGGGAGGGTCCTGTCACGTCACCCACGTGCAGCTTTCTGAGGCGGGGGCGCGCCGCATCATTGACAACGACGGGTTCAAGCTGTGCATGGAGGCGCCTCATTGTTTTTTTCCTCGAGATGGGAAGCGCCTGGTACAGGACCCTTTTTTGGTTGGGAGGCTTTCCCTACTATAAAATGGACTGCTTGAAAAAAATAATAAAAAAACAGTTGGTACCCTTATTCTATCCTCTCTACTGGAGGACCTAGCCTGAAATCGGAAGGTTGCGTCTTGCCGCTGCTAAAGGTTGAGCCATCCACTTTTTCTTCTCAGGATCCGGAGTTGTACAAAGGAACTCTGCGAGTTCGCGGCCTGATCTTCAAAGCGCGAATTGGCAGCCAGTGTGATGGACAAGAGCCTACCCACTAAGCGTATCCATCGGGCATGGACCGTAGGTATGGGCCGGGACGTTGCCAGCTGAGGTTTGCCCTCCCGACAACCCTCGGCAGACATCTCTGCAGGATTCATGGCTTGTTCCCAGCGCAACGCACATTTCACGCACGCATGTTTTGTTGGAACAGACTTCGGGGAAAACAACACAAATTCTAGAAGCCCTTTTCCAACTTGCTTTCCCACTTGTTGGATGTTTTTCTGGGAAACGCTTGTTTTATTATTAGTGGGGTGGGTGGGACATGGGGGGACCATCTTTGTGTTCCTCTCTTTTTGTGGTTTGAATTGTTTGGGATTTAAACCCTTGCTTCCTGAGGGAACATGGGAAACACCCTGCATTTCACCCCACCAATCCACCGATTCGGCTCTACCCATCCACGGAGGCCATCGAGAGCCCGGATGAGGCAGTGGCCGGCCCGTGCCTCAGAGCGTGCGGGGAAGGCCGGCGGCCGCGGTTGGGAGGGTTCCCTGGGCGGTTGCTTGTCAAACCCACATGTGTTTTCGGGCCTTTGTGGGGGGGTTATCCAGATATCCCTTATTTTTACGGGTCTTTTTTTGGGCTTTTTCAAGAGATCCCTTCCCCAAAAGCCTTCAGGCATGGGTTTACCACTTGAAGAGCTGTGGCAGGAGGAGACCCAGGCCACAGACCCCACTTAGCTCGCTTAGTCCATCGTTCTTGAGGTGCTGCCTGCAAGGCGATTGCCGCCATGCAGTGTGCCGCTCAGGCAGTGGGGTTCAATGAAGGGGATGCCTGATGTCGAGTTGAAATAACAGTTGACCTCTTGAAACCTTTTTCTTGGGTCAACTTTGGCCAGATGTTTTTCGATCAGCTGGTCTTGAAGGATGCTATCCATGCTTGATGTCTCGACGACTACGCAAACAGGCATTGCTCTGTGAGGAGCCCAGGCGTAAGAGCTGATTCGACTTGTTCTCCTGGCATAGTGGCCTTTGACCCTCAAGAATGAGGGATGGCGCGGCCAAAAAAAAAACGGTTCCCCTTCGAGGGTGGGCGACTTGCTTGCATAGGTGCATCACTGCATCACAGTTACCTGCTCTGTGCAAGGCTGCCAAAAGGCTTCCCGTTGGCAAGCTGACATGCTTCCTTGCCTGTTCCTTTCTTTGGGGAACCTCCATGGCTAGGGGGTGATTCGCAGTCTCAACACGGCCATGGAGCGAAAAACCCAAAGTTTTCGGCTGCCAGTGGCCACGCGGAAGCTCCTTTGGGGTGGACTCCCAGTGCGAAAGAGATGACCAAAGTTTCACAGGGCTGCCAAACTGATGGCCCTGGCGTTTTTTCTCCCTGAAGGGCGCTTTTTTCCCTTGGACCAGTTTCTACCGGAGAGAGGGGTGGGTGGGTGGGTGGTGGGGGTTTTGTTTTGTTTATTTGGACGTCCGTGGCTTCACCTCAAGCCGGCCCGAATTCAGCCAGCCATGGCGGCGGATCGCTTGGTGGAGCTCTTCTTGCAGTGCCTCGTCAAAGTATGCGGCGGGATGTTGGGCCGAGGGGGTTAAGAGGATGCTGGCTGCAACGTGAAAACGGCGGAAGCTGATTTCCTCAGCTTGTTTGGAAGCCCGGGAAAGCGGGGGGCCCTCAGACTCAAAACCGACTCAGTCCAACATCCAAGTGGACGCTCTTGATGGCCGCGCCTGAAGTTTGCGGGTGTCCGGCAGGGCGGTGAGAGATTGACCGACGCGTGCAAGAGGCCAGCCAAAAAAAAATCCGATGCATGGCTCAGGCCCCTCGTTTTGCTTGCCCTTGGTGTCAGCTGCTAGGTCCCCCAGCCAGGTGCCCTTTTGCCCTTTCTTCTTTTTGGTAGGGAGGCTTCCCCTACTAAAATCGACTACAGAGGAAAACAGGTACCCTTCTTCTAACCTCTCCACTGGAGGACCTAATTAGGCTGGGTCTGAAGAATTGTCCGGGCTTCCAAACCGGAAGATCAGCAGAAGTGAGCGTGCAGGGCTTCCGTTTCGTTTCCCTTGGGTGTTTTTTGTTGGTTGATTTCACTCCTCCCGCTCAGGTCGACTCGCGATGGCACCGGTGGTCCTATGCAGGCTCCTGAGTTGCTTTGTTGAATTCCCAGACTTTTGGAGACTACTTGAGCCAGAACCCAAGCCCGTTTAATTGGAGGTAGTAAGGGGCAATCCCAGCCGGAAATTTGTGCGGCCCCCTTTTCAATTCTTTACATGGTTCTGGGTACACCATGTTACTACCAGGTTTTGATTATGACCCACTTGGGTGTTTAGCTATGTTGCATTGTTGGTAGCCGGGGTTTTCTCACCGACTTGCAGGTCTCCGGTTCAGTGAAGTTCAGCCTTGTTGGTGACAACCCAAGGTGGCTAACCACTTACTAACTTGGTAACACACTTCCAAGGCTGTTGCCCAGTGCTATGAGCGTGACTTTCTCAGCTTTGGGGCCTTCAGGCTCCCTTCCAGCCATCCGTTGGGAGTCTGCAGAGTCCGAGAAACGTGAAACCAACGTCGCAGCCCGGGCCCTCCGGGGCCCTCCTCAACTTGTGTTGCCACCAATCAACACCCTGCTCCAAACGGCCAGGTGTATCAGAATGGTGGTGCGCCGTCGGAATGCATCATCAGAAAACTAAGCGGACACGTCGAGCCTGACAAAAACCCGGGGACCACGAGCCAAGATGGGAAATCGGTGAATTGGATCGTCTCACTCCCTGCGCTTATGGACTTTCAATTTTTTGGGTGAATGTTTGGACAGTTGTTTTTTCTTTTCTGGCAAACAACATGTTTTTCTGGGTTGCCTGGTTGCTTGGCTGAACTTGGCTGCCTGGTTAGTCGGTTGCTGGCCTGGCTGGCTAGCTGGCACGCTGGTTTCTTGGTTGGTTGGTCGGCTGGCTGGTTGGTGTCCTCTTTGTTGGCTGCTGGCCTGGCTGGCTCTTGGCCAGTCCACTCGACGCCCAAAAAGAAACCGGTGGGACCAGGAGCCCGATGAGGCGGGCATCGACAAGGCCATGGCGCACCTTGAGCAGATGCTGACCAGCGACGAGGCCTTTGCATCAGTGAAACGGGCCGGGGCGGGCGGGGGGGGGGGGGGGGCAGGGGTCTTCTACTCCCAAGTTCCCGAGCTTTCAACTTTTTGGGTTCGGGGCATTTTCGTGGTAGACAAAAAGGTTGGGACATTTTTGGCCAGGCCAGTTCAGGAAGTGAGCCTAGATGGTCTTTTCTGCCTTGATTTCCTTGAGCTGAGAGTCAGGTAAGGGTTTGGTATTTGGATTTAAACCCCTGAGTCTGCAGCGGGTGCATGGGACACCACCCAACCTCCACACCTCCACACTTCCAAGCCGGGCTCAAGGCGGAGTCGTTCTCGGACCGTGGGACAAAACCCCCTAGGGAAATCGGCCCATTTTGTTGGGGGGGGTCGGACCCCCAACCTAAAAACGACGTATGTTAAGGCCCAAGAACTCGAGAGATACGAAGGACACGCAAAGTGAAGAGTACGTCCATTTGCTGAAATGAGTGCTCGCTTTATTTCCCCCTGGTTGAACTTGTTGGTTTCTAAAGGGACTCTCTCAACTGCTGGACATATGTTCTCCTTTTTTCCCGGGCACTTCTCAACAAATGGAGGTGTTACGTTTTTAAGAACATTCTGGATGGGGTTTTCCCATGCGAGCATGTCAACAGTATAACCACCACGAAGTGGACCGTGCGTAATTTTAGTCCATGGATTCCATTTACCAGGGCAGCCCATTCTTGGGGTGGCCCTATTTTTTTGGACCCCCACCGCCATGCCTGTGGCTCATGGCGTGATGGTGAAAACCTGAGGCGGCGCAGGTGTCCACTCCTGCGGCCACCTTTGTGGGCCTGGCCATGGCCCTGGAGGAGAGGGGCCCCAGAGCCGAGGGGCCCCGGATGAGCCGGAGGGGTTCCCAAGCCAGAGCAAGCAATGCAAGGGCAACCAGATGCAACCAGATGCAACCAACCAACCAACCAACCAAATAAAACCAACCAACCAACCAAGCAAGCAACCAAGCAACCAAGCAACCAAGCAACCAAGCAACCAAGCAACCAAGCAACCAAGCAACCAACCAACCAACCAACCAACCAACCAACCAACCAACCAACCAACCAAGCAACCAAAACATCAGGCAACCAACCAACCAAAACATCAGGCAACCCAGAAAAGGTGCCCAGGGCCGGATTGTTCGAATCTTTTCGACTTGGAGGTGCCACGTACATTGGCCATTGGGGCCGTGGCCTATGGAAAAAGAAACACGAAGGCGGCGCAAGCCCGGCCCATCAAAAGCCAAAGCCGGAGAACCAGCGCACCGAGGAGATGGCTTCTATGGGTGACTGGAAAAATTGGATCCATCCCCTTCTGGTGTAAACCATCCGGATAGTTTCCACCGGGACTCAGGGAAAAAAGCGGTATCCGCGCTGCCTGACGGATTTGAGGAGAAGCCCAAGCTGGGTTTGGCAGCGCTGCGGTGCTATCAGAAGGCCTGGGCTCCTTGGCTCAGAACTGCTGGGTGGGGTGGAAATCATGAACTTCAGTTTATTTACCCACCTAGATAGCCAGGATGCTGCTTGTTTCAGTCACTGTGGCTGGTTTTTTGGGTAAAGTGGATAGAAAAGAACAGCAACTGGTGATCCAGGCATGTATAAGTCATCCAGGTGTTGTCGAGCCATGTATATTGACCCCTGTTTATTTACCCAGCTTATCACCCGCGGGCTTGTTTATTTGTAGGGGGCGGGTCCCTGGCTGAAATGCGGGGAATCATCGTTTCTGGCGGGGAACAATTCCGTATTACTGGGACGAGTTCTATTGAAATCCGGGGTCAACATTAGGTGGAATGCACTGGTTACTTGCCAGATGCAGCTTTCCAGGCGGACATCTAGGTTGCTTGTGGGTTGGGGTTGGCGGGAGTTGGTTGTAACGGAACGCCTCGGAGAAAAGACTAAGACGGCGGAGGGCTCGTTTTGTTCAAGGTCTTCGGGTGCGGTGGGGCAGACTTACGCGTTGCGCTGCTGGCAAATCCGAAGATGCTTACAGCGAAACCTGTTGCTTGGTTGCAGCACCTTGTCCGCACGGAAGCAACAAGTTCAACTCCGTCCGCGATCGGCGACTCGGGAATTCGTTGGTCGCATGCGGAGCCGTTGCCTAAGGAGTACACAGGCAAGGGCTCCAGCAAGAACGAGGCCCGATCAAAAAAGGGAAGTGGTAGCGAACGGTGGCTTCGATTGTGCTCCTTTGGGGAAAGGGCAGGCAGGAGGAAAGCACCTTGAGTTCATTTTGAGTTTGGCTGATCTTCGTGGAGAGCAAAAGCGAATCAGAAGGACAAGTGTTTATCTTACCTGCTCCCCGCCCACTCGCAAGACCAATTTCAAGGGAGGCAGAGAGCGACCCGCTGAACGTCTCTGTTTTCAAGGGGCGGCTTCCAGAGTTTGAGTAACTATAGCTGGTGGTTGGAAGGGAGCCCTTACGGAGATGTATCCAAGTTTGCTTTTAAAGAGGGAGCCTTTCGGAGCTACCGATCGAAGCTCTCTAAGAACATGGTTATCCCATGCAGCCGGACATCCGGCTTTTGGAACCAGAGGGTCTGCTTCGCCGGGCGGATGGCTATTTGGAGCCCTTGGATCATGTCCAGGGCGTGAGCATGTGTAAGCGGTGGAACCGGGGTGTAACACCGCATGCGAAAAGTTTGGTTTCCTAAGGTGGTTCAAGCATTTCACAGCGCCCTTGCTTGGGTTGCCATTGGCCGT